ACATGTGCACTGAATGTGACAAAGGCTTCTCCAAGAAATCACAGCTGATTAGTCACCAGAAAACTCATACAGGTGAGAAGCCGTACGTATGTAATGAGTGTGGAAAAGGCTTCATCAAGAGGTCTCAGCTCATCGACCACCAGAGTGTTCATACAGGAGAGAAACCTTATGGATGCAGCATATGTGAGAAAGCCTTCGCCACAAAGTTCAGACTCATTCGACATCAGAGGACTCACACAGGAGAGAAACCCTACAAATGTGCAGTATGTGACAAAGCCTTCCGCTTTAACTCAAATCTCCATTCCCATCAGAAGAATCATACTGGAGAGAAACCATACATATGCAGTGATTGTGGGAGGGGCTTCATCCATAAGGCCAGCCTCATTGTACATCAGCGAATTCATACTGGAGAGAAGCCATATATATGCAATGAGTGTGGAAAAGCCTTCAATCAGAAGGGCAACCTTCTTATACACCAGCGAAGTCATACTGGAGAGAAACCCCATGTGTGCAATGATTGTGGGAAACGCTTCAGCCAGAAGACATGCCTCGTAGCTCATCAGAGATTTCACACGGGGAAGAATCCCTTTGTTTGCACTGAGTGTGGGAAACCCTGTTCATACAAGGCAGTTCTCATCAGCCATCAGAGAATCCACACAGGTGAAAAGCCCTACTTATGCAGTGACTGTGGGAAAGCTTTTAAAGATAATTCATACTTCAATAGCCATCGGAAAACTCACACTGGAGAGAGACCTTATGGATGCACTGACTGTGGGAGAGCTTTCTCCTCCTCGTCAAGCTTTGTTCATCACAAACGGATGCTGCACGCAAGAGAGAAACATGGTTCAGTCAAGGTGGAGAATTCTTTCTCAAAGACTCATACTTCCTCATGTACACGTGATCTCACTCAGGCGAGAAACCCTGTTAGTACAACAACCGGGCAGATGGCTTCTACAGTAACTCAGACATCAGTAAACACCAGTGGGCTCCTAGCAGATAGGAATGCAGCCCTTGTGCGACAGCCAGTTGCCAGATGTGCATCTATAGCAGATACTACTGTGTCACAGGAGAGAAACCTTATAAATGCAGTGACTCTGGTGGTGCCTTCAGTGATCAGTTACATCACATTTTGTGTCACAACAAACACACAGGAATAAAGTGTGATACATTCAAAGT